CGACGCCTAAGGAGACAGACTGATTGTAGATCGTGTCAAGACCACAGAAAACATCAACCTAAAGCTGGCGGAAAAAGTTGAAGACAACCATGATCGTAATCGAACAATAGAGTATCAGATATCTCGAATAAGAATCTTCAGTGATTCACACGCGCCTGGTTCTTTGCACCAGAGGAAGAATTTGCTGAGTGCTTCAAAGTTAAACCGAACAAGGAAGAGTCGAAGACTTGTAGCGACACAGCCATTCAAAAGCTACTTGTCGTGCGATTAAGTGAGGAGCGGAGGGGCGTGGGGCCTGCTGATACGCTAGATTTTAACTTCAATCAGCGTTTGCGCGTGACGACGTGCAGCAAAGCTGTAAGGCTGGTGTTAACTGAAAACGAAAAAGCAACAACCAAAACGAAAACATTGTTCGAACAAAAGACTTACGGTTACAAATCATTTGTGACGTTTATCACCAGTCGGTGACAAATAAGAACTTATCTATAGCAGAAAAATCACCCATCAGATCATCCTGTCTTATGAGCTCCGATCTCTTACTGCTTAACAATGAAGTCTGTTCGATTTTCTAGGTTTCAACAACAGCGCATGAATTACGTCGACGTCCCGAAAGACTCGTACTAGGGCGGGTACCGCAGAGGTGCTGGTTAATCGTTGCAAGCGAGGAGAAAAATTTTAATGCGGTGAATGTTACTTAAAATACCAATTCTAGTAATAAGTAACATAAGTTTTGGTAAGTCACAAACAGGAAAACAACGCATAAGATGATCGTTAATTAGGGACATCTGACGTTTCGGACCAAGCTAGGTCCGTCTACAAAGTAAAATGACAAAAACACGTAATATTTTTATGCGGGTCTGGTTGATCTCTGTCCCCCTGTTCATCAGCAGATGACTGACATTTTGCATTATTCATGCGAAGCGCTCTATATACTCAGTAAGCCCGCCACAAAACTTTCCCCACAGACTTTCAGAACGGTGTCAGAAACAGCTACCTTGCGCGATGCCCGACATCGAAGAAGACCTGGTCGTCGTTTAGGTTGACAAACTATTCTTGAGAAGAATAGCGCTGGTAGCCTTCTGTTGCCATACATCATCTCCGTCAACGTTCGCTCCACAGGCACCAAACTTAATGAGATTGAGGCGACTCGCCATATGTGAGGATACACAAATTTCTTGGTGCTTCTACTTCAGGAATCGAACAATCAAACACATGACTTCTTTCTCACGCTTACTGGCTTTGAACCATTTTGGATGGAAATCTTTTACAAAGAAAACAT